TCCTTCCTAACTGAGTTTTAACTAATGTTGTTGATGATGATGATGATAGATTCATCTAGAAAGCAAATTCAAATGGCATCTTCACCAACAATTAAGCCTACACCAAACCTAGAAGTGTTTTTAAACTGTCATTGACTCAGATGGTCGGACCATTCGGCCTGAAAATTGTCCAGACAACTGGTTCTGTTTTACTCTTGACCTGTTATTGGGTAAAAAACCGTTAACTACTTAGTCAGAGAACCACTGACCCAGGTGATTGAACCATTGACTTGTTCAACCCGGACAGTGGTTCGCGTTTTAATAGGAGACTGAGACCAGAATGATTTCAGGTCTGAGATCACTAAGATCCCAAAGAGAGAGAGAGAGAGAGAGAGAGAGAGAAGCAAGATTGCAGAGATCCTCCTCCGTCGTTGTCATCAGCGCCGGTGAACATCAGATGTTCCTACTCTTCTTCCTCCTCCTTCCCTCCTACCTTTTTCTTCCTTTCTCTCATTCCTTTCTTTATTTCCTTATTTTCTTTCTTTCTTTCTTAATTGACATCATCTCTTTTTTCTTAAAAATGACTAACCACCTAAATATTATTTGCCCTAATATTCCAAACCACCTAAACCGTTCAACCTGTATGGTCAAACAACTGACCCAAAAACCGGTGGCCCAAGTGGCTCCATTTCCAAATCAGTTTTTAAAACCTTGCTAATTAGAAATCAAGAACGACAAGTTAGCTGGCATACAAATGTATGAAAGGTAAACCTCCTTAATGAAAATTGCATTCATTATTTGGCCTCTTAAGTGCCTTGCACAATCCCTTTTGTTTTCTGCAATGGATCATGGGGTCCTAATTTGGTGTTACTTCCGTAATCTGTTTAACATTATTACCATTTTTCCTATGGATAACAACTCTTTATTGGTTCAAGTGCTAAGCAATTAAGGCTGCAACTTGGGCCGGGTTGGCCTGAACCCAACCCAAAAAAGTTGGGTTGGGTTGGGTCGGGTTGATGTTTGGGTTAGGGTTAGGGTTGAAATTCATGAACCCGACTTTATTTCGGGTTGGATGTCATATATAAATATATGTTATATGTAATATATAACATACATTGATTTGTTTAGATGCATGATAATTGTATAGCCCCCACCATATAGTATCATGTATTTCTTTTAAGATAATCACTTCACTTAATTCTAATAAGAAAAACTAAAACCTTAATAACATTATTTTATGTTTTTTGAAAATTTTATTCATCTCCTCTAAGTTGTTTGCTGCCTAAGAAATACCTATCGGTAGTCATAACTCATAATTCTAATGCCTATGAAACTCTTTTTTGGCTTTTCATTGTTTTTATGGGAGTTACATTTCTATTCAAGTTGAACTCTTAGCTTTGCATGATGGCCTATTGGACTAATTCTTTGTTTTGAAAAAGGATTTTAAGAAGTAGAGGTTGACAACTAGATAATTATAGATATTATGCTCGATAAGGTGGATCGTCATTAGAATTCTATTTACATCCTCGTGTAGGATTAAAAGTCTTGTACAAAGGATGAATATATATAGGGTCCGCTTGGCGCATCCTTTTGGGAGAGCTTTTGCATGAAGATCTGAGCAGCTCGAAGCACATTTGACAGATGCATGTCTTTTTGTGTCTTTCCGCACGAGAAGCCACTTTCCAGCCTAATGACACATTCAAGAGTAGGATTTTTCCTCGCGCACTGGCCACCTTAGAAAACTTCGACCAATATGGATGAGCAACCTTACCCCAAAGTCCAAACTCTTTCAATCTCTCTTTTTTTTTAATTGATTTATTAGCAATTTGCTCTTCACATCAATTGCCAAAGGGAAAGCTGCATCTTTAGATTCTTCTTTTTGTTTTCATAAAGTTTGTATTTGTTTTTTTTTTGTTTTTTTGCAGAAACCAGCCTCGAAATAATTGCATGAGTATTCTGGACATTTTCATGTCTCTTTTTAGAGGATTTTAATAGAGGGTGTCTACTTGCAATTATGTCTGAAAGTTCGGGGAGGTGATTGCAATTTACAAACTTCAGGGGAGGTTTCAACAACTACCAAAAACTTTAGGGGAGGTTTCATAAATTTACCCAAAAAATATGGGAAGTAGTGGGCCCAAACATTATTGAGGTGGTCCAAGATTTTTTTTCTAGAAAACTATTAAAGCAAGTAAATAACACATATATTGTCTTCATACCCCAAAGCCCTAGTCTAGTTACCTCATCCCAATTCAGGCATGGGTATTTTGGACAATTTCGCACCTCTTATTAGAGGATTCTAATAGAGGGGGTCTATTTGCAACTGTTTAAAAGTTCAGAGGAGGTAGTTGTAATTACAAATTTCAGGAGAGGTATCAATAAATTACCCAAAAATATAATAAGACCCATTTGGGCATTTGGGGTGTATTTGATATCATGCCATCATGGTATTGCTGAGCCATTTTGTTTGCCATGTAAATGCTACATGAGTGTTTTGATTTTACCAAACCAAAATCCCGTTTAGTTGGATGGATTCAAATACAACTGTTTATATTGATTTTTACCTTGAGTTATGTGAGTTATTTTTGAAAGAAAAAAAAAAAAACATTTAGAAGTTACATGTTGCAAATCTCTAATGTGACATCTAGGCCCCGTTCATTTTTCAGCAAGTTACTTATCTAGGTAATGGGTAAGTGCATTTACCCATTTTCTTTTATTACCAATGTAAATAAGGCAATGGCCATTTTAGTCATAAAAATCCATTATTATAAGGGGCATTTTTGTCCCATTCAAGTTTTGGCAACTTTCTCTTAAGGTTGGAAGGTTATTTACCCACCTAGGAAGAATAAACTTTCCCTATTCCCCACATAAATCTGAAAAAAGAACATGAGATTCTTGATCAATGGGAATCAAAATCCCATTGACTAACTTTCCCGCCTCTCAAAATCCCTAAAAAGAACACCCCCCTAGTGACACCTGTACGTGTATTAAACAACAATAAGCAATTACAGCATTGTATTAATATACCAAAACTGCATTTCCCCGATTTTCAATGTTTAAGGGGGTATTCTGTGGCTGTAGCTCATTTTGCTTGGTTTTAGAACGCACCACAAAAAATGGCAATTTTTTACACAAGTGGATTTTGGTATGAATTACGATGTGTTGTGAAATTGAAAATATCTTATTATTTTCACCACATTGAAATATTGTATTTCAGAACCCACCACACCTTAGAAAACTATCAAATAATAATTTGAAATATTTTAATAATAGTTTATGTATTCCAAATCTTAAGGCTTTGGAACACACCACATAACCACAATATAGAATGCTTGGTGTGGTGTGGTGTATTCTAAAACGTACCATTTCAAATTGATCATGGTGGAACCCAATAGTCTAGAACGGACCACACTTTTTTGGACCCAACTATTGAACACCCCCTAAATTGAGTACAAATGCAATACCCCTACATCACTACAATACCTAACACCCTTTTAAGAGCCCAATCACAAAAGTAGAGTTGTAAATTAGTTCAAACGAACCGATAAACTCAAATTGAACCATCCAACCATATAGGGCTTGAATCTATAATATGTCTCTTGATCAAGGTTCAAAATATTGAAACATCCGATACACTATAAGGTGTATTGACCTGTATCGAGTCTTGTTTTTTCATTTTTTTGTTTTCTTTTTCAATCTAGTTCAAAGGGGTCAGTTTAAGGCCCATCTACCCCGTGAACCATGTTCTGACCCAAAACATCCACTGTAGGGGCATATTGGAAAGCTCCCAATATGATACATATCGACCGATACGGCCCAATACTTTTCAAAACTTTGAACCTTGCTCCCGATTAATCAGATGCAAGTTATGGGATCAGGTTTTGGACTTTTAGGACTCGCTCGCTTTTCGGTAAATTATTTACCCAAGTAAATGCAGTTACCTGGGTAAGTTTTTCCTGCGAAACACTTACCCGAGTAAGTGCATTTACCCATGTTCTTTTATTTCTCATATAAATAAGGCAATGACCATTTTATCTATTAAAATCCATTATTAAAAGGATCATTTTTGTCTCATTCAAGTATTGACAACTTTCCCCCTAGGTGGGAAAGTTATTTACCCAAGAGATGGGTATCACTTACCTAGATAAGTGATACCCAAGAAAATAAACTTTCCCTGATCCCCACATAAATCTAAAGAAAAAAAAAAAAAAAACATGGGTTTCTTCTTCAATGGGAACCAAAATCCCATTAACCAACTTTCCCCCTCTCAAAATCCAAAAAAAAGAATGCCCCCTTATAGTCCATTAGCAGCCACAACCCTTGCTCCATACCACTTCTATATCTATATTAGAAAGAGGGGAGGTGAAGGGTCCTCTCACCACAAAGTTCATGGAGACCTCCCTTTCCCCATATTTTTTTCACACATGTTATTTATTATTAAATTAAATTATTAAAAATACAATAAGTCAATTAAATCTTTATCAAAATCCATCATTACTCTCTCTAATAATATTATTATAGTAATGTTTGTAATGTCTCTCCTCTCTCATTAATTCCATCTCTTTTTAAATATATCTAGGTTAACGGTCAAACCAAGACCAGCCCTAAATATTAGGACTCTATCCTGAACCTAAACTGATCATTAAACCCAAATAACTACAACTTGAGCTGGCTTGAATTGGGAAATTAACAAATTTTCAACGAACCCTAACCTAATCCGAATCCAAACCCAATGTAGCTGATTTTTTCGAATTGGTAACCCATCTCTTTTCTGCATCATAAATTTATATATTTATAATTTTATACATTCAATTTAGATATTAATCCAATAAACCAAACGAAAATCATAAACTCCAATTCAATAAAATATCAAATCGAACCAAACCGTTTTCAAGTGCAGAACACCAACCGCAGAGGTTTGGTTTTGCGGTAACCATACAATGAACACGGTCACCCGTTGACTCGACCCCCTTTTTCCTCATTATCTTTTACAGGTTCATTCATATTCTATCACTTTGCGCCATGAAGACTTCTATTAACTAGACAGCAGCAGACAAACTTCATTAGATTCATACGAGCATAGCTTCGATGTATTTGAAGAATTTTTCGAGTAAAAGCTTTTATTTTCATGGCATACGAAGAAAACAATCCCTGTCTCAACTCCAGGGAGGAGGAACGTCGGCAATAGTTTCGGCCATCAGTGAAAAAAGCAGCAGAAATATGCACTTTTTCCCAATAATAAATTTACAGAAGATCCAATTTTCTGTTTCTGACACTATATTACAGAGTCGTGAAGTTGGAATTACMGGCGGCGAGTATCGCGGTGTGACACTTCGGCCGGATTGATGATGCAATAATTATCGATCAGCGATTGTTGTTTTTGATCAATCGATTCTGCTATAAATTTGAAGTCGAGAAAGGGATTGAAGCAGCAACAGTTTTCGCCCTTTAACCTGCACAATGGTTAATCCTTAGTATTATTTGTTAAGGTAATTTTCATATGCTGTCAGTAGTGGTAACTGACTATCTCGGTGGCTCGTTCCGTTTGTGTTTTTTTTCTTCTTTTCTATGGCCGTGGGCCAATCTATAGAAACTTGGAGTTCGAGTTGTTTTTCACTTTCTCTCTTATTTGGTTGAAAACAGAGGCGGAAGAAGAACTGGAGATTTCTCTGTAGGTTTTTGGAATGGAGAAGTTGTTGGAGGAAAAGTTCGATCTCGAACACAAGCACCCCTCGCAGGAGTCTCTAAGAAGGTGGAGATCTGCAGTTTCGCTGGTGAGGAACCGGCATAGGCGGTTCCGTTACACGGCGAATCTGGATAAGAGATCAGAATCCGAACAAGCGAGGCGGAAAATCCAGGTGCGTTCACTCTCTGTACGGCTTTGTTTTACTTCGATCTTATTGATCCGTATGGCTTAATCGATGCTTTAGAGCATGAAATGGTAATGTGGTGGGCGGCGAGGTGGTGTCGATTATTTTAGGGTTTCAGTGGGCTCTGAAACAACTAACAAGGTTGCATTCAAACTGTTCACGTTGGATGACAGTGACGAGGTCTGAGATTCTCTGGGATTCAACTAAAACTTTGAAATTTTCTTCGGTATATCTTACGAATCGAGAACGAAATTCATGATTTCAAGATTGTTGGGCGTCAATCTGAAACCGTAGAAAAGAGCAGAAATGAATGCCGCCGTATTCCGGTGGCTTCATCGAAGAAGTGCTTTGTTTGTATTATAGCGCAGATGCGTTAATATGCTACTGCTTCCGGAACACAGGCACCCAACCATTCGAATTTACTAGGGCGCCCCACAGCACATTCCGACCTTATATTGGGAACATCTCCCGATGATGTCTTATCATCTCCCAATGATAGATGTTCTTTATACAAGGTCGGGATGTGCTGTGGGGCATAGTGGGGCGCTCCCTTGTGGGATGCGAACAACAATTCTCAGCTCCTGTTAATTGGAAAGCTTGTGTCTGAACACTGGGGATAAGTGGACTGCAATCCACCTCAGAAATCTAAAATTGCAGCCCCCTCTGTGTCTGAACACTGGGGATAAGTGGACTGCAATTCACCTCATAAATCTAAAATTGCAGCCCCCTCTGAGTCTCCCTATAAACTGCATCCTGTCCGTGAATTTAACATTAATCCATGGACAAGATTCAATCTGCCCTTAAAAATCTTAACTTCACCCTAGTTGTGGACTGAACTATAAAAACCCTTTTTTTTTCTCTAGGCTGGAATTTGCTACCCACTGATTGTTTTATGGGTAGGCTTGGATTTGTTAATGTTCCGAGTTTTTTTTTCTCTCTCATCCCCAAGCCCATAAACCCCCTAACCTATGTGCAAACAGGAATCCCAAAAATCTTTTTACGATCAGAAAGAGACCTTACCAACCAACTAGTTTATTTAGTTGTTTACTCTGGGTGCATGGGCTCAAGTGTTTGTAATTGATAGGTGAACCAATTAGGATTTCTTTTGGATCAGTGTTAGGAACGTTCAATTGGTATCAGATCTCTATCCCCTTTCCCCAATCATCCTCTCATCCATCACACACCATTTGCAGAATTGGAAACATTTTCGGGTATTTCTTTTTAATCATATGCCTGAATTCCCCGTGGGGACTATAATTCTTTTTTCATCTTTTTGAGAAATGTAGGGCCCAAAATCCGAATTTTCTTTTATGGTCAATAAATACGCAAAATAATGAATAAATATTAAGATTTTCAATTATTTAATTGAAATCAAAATATCCTTAAAATAAATTCAATATATAGGTTAAGGAGGATTGGGTTTAACCCAATAATGTATCTGATGATGTGCGATCTGGTGCTCCCTGTTGTAGTACAACTCAGACGTCGAATTGAGTAAGTCGCTTGGCCGAACTATAAGAAAATAGTCAAAGTGTCGAGGTTCTTTCCCGGTGCGGGTACTCCGATGCTTAAGTCAATGATGTGTAGAAATTTGAGAATTAGAAAGCAAAGAGCTAAGAGTGTTTGAGAGCTAAATCACACATAACTCTTTTGATGAATGGGATGCTTTTATATAGATGTGAGATACATGTGGTTCACGCTCTTTGCCTGAGATCTCCGGTAAGATGCGTCCGCCTCGCTCGGAGGTCATTTCAAGGAGTCCGCATAGGATAAGGCTTATCCGGCCGTTTCAAAGTGTGCGGTGCGGGAGGACAGGTCTGCCAAGTAAGGGACATGATCCCGGAGAACTAGGAGAGCCACGCGTATAGGATGTCATTTGCCATGTAATGTGGATCATCGGCTAGGTCGTGGTCATGTCCACGGGATCCCAACAGGAGGCCACTCGTTATGCCGAAGTCTCTAACTCATCCATGATCAATTCGCTAGTATGCTGAGGTGCTGAGGTGGCGTTGAGGCTCCTTAGAGCGTCCAAAGTGTCCCCAGAGTTTCCGAATTGGCTCTAAGGTGACAAGAAATGTTGGTGATGATGATGATAGATTCATCTAGAAAGCAATTTCAAATGGCATCTTCACCAACAATTAAGCCTACACCAAATTTAGAAGTGTTTTTAAACTATCATTGACTCGGATGGTCAGACCATTCGGCCTGAAAATTGTTTAGACAACTGGTTCCGTTTCAATCTTGACCTGTTATTGGGTCAAAAACCTTTGACTACTTAGTCAGAGAACCACTGACCTAGGTGATTGAACCATTGACTTGTTCAACCCAGACAGTGGTTCGCGTTTTAAAAAGATGCAGAGCAACTTGAGAGATGAGGAGAGACTGAGAGCAGAATGATCTCAGATCTGAGATCACTAAGATCCCAAAGAGAGAGAGAGAGAGAGAGAGAAGCAAGATTGCAGAGATCCTCCTCCGTTGTCGTTGTCGTCAGCGCCGGTGAACATCAGATGTTCCTACTCTTCTTCCTCCTTCTTCCCTCATTCCTTTTTTTTTCCTTTCTCTCATTCCTTTCTTTATTTCCTTCCTTTATTTCCTTATTTTTCTTTCTTTCTTTCTTTCTTAATTGACAATCATCTCTTTTTTCTTAAAAATGACTAACCACCTAAATATTATTTGCCCTAATATTCCAAACCACTTGAACCGTTCAACCTGTATGGTCAAACTGCTGACCCAAAAACCGGTGGCCAAAGTGGCTCCATTTCCAAATCAGTTTTTAAAACCTTGCTAATTAGAAATCAAGAACGACAAGTTAGCTGGCATAAAAATGTTTGAAAGGTTAACCTCCTTAATGAAAATTGCATTCATTATTTGGCCTCTTAAGTGCCTAGCGCAATCCCTTTTGTTTTCTGCAATGGGTCATGGGGTCCTAATTTGGTGTTACTTCCGTAATCTGTTTAACATTATTACCATTTTTCCTATGGATAAAAACTCTTTATTGGTTCAAGTGCTCAGCAATTAAGGCTGCAACTTGGGCCGGGTTGGCCCGAACCCAACCTGAAAAAGTTGGGTTAGGTTGGGTCGAGTTGATGTTTGGGTTAGGGTTAGGGTTAGGGTTGAAATTCATGAACCCGACTTTATTTCAGGTTGGATTAGGGTTGACCCCTTAGCGAATCCAACCTAACCCGAACCCGACTCTATAGTGCATGTCATATATAAATATATGTTATTTGTAATAAATAACATACATTGATTTGTTTAGATGCATGATATTTGTATAGCCCCCACCATATAGTATCATGTATTTCTTTTAAGATAATCACTTCACTTAATTCTAATAAGAAATACTAAAATCTTAATAACATTATTTTATGTTTTTTTTTTGAAAATTTTATTCTTCATCTCCTCTATGTTGATTGTTGCATAAGAAAGATCTATCGTAAGTCATAACTCATAATAAACTAAGTCATTTTTGACACTTGTTTTTCTGAATTTTGTACCAAAAAAAAAAGTCAACAAACAAATACTAATGAAACATAGGATTAATATATGTAGTGAGAGTTGAATTAAGATCTAAAATCGAGAAATTCTATGAGGTTTTAAGGGATGAGAAGAAGGTTGGGTTGGGCCCAACCCGAGCCCAACCCAACCCAAAATTGACTCCGGGTTGGGTTGGGTTGGGTTAGGGTTAGGGTTGGGATTTAGAACTTAGGGTTGGGCTAGGGTTGGGGTTTAGAACTTAGGGTTGGGCTAGGGTTGGCCTTAACCTGACCTAACCCAGCCCGACTTACAACCCTATCAGCAATATTCCTTTCAAAGCTTTAAAATGAAACAAATGTAGATGGGTTTCTTGGAAACCCTGGTGAAAGAGGTGGTTGTGGGTTGTTATGTACATATGGCTTAGTTTGGGAAGAGTGTAAAAAACATGTATATAGTATTTTTAAACCTTGTATTTACACTGCAAATATTTGTATTTGCACTCTGCCTAATAAATTGAGCCTATGAAACTCTTTTTTGGCTTTTCATTGTTTTTATGGGAGTTACATTTCTATTCAAGTTGAACCGTTAGCTTTGCATGATGGCCTATTGGCCTAATTCTTTGTTTTGAAAAAGGATTTTAAGAAGTAGAGGTTGACAACAAGATAATTATAGATATTATGCTCGGTAAGGTGGATCGTCATTAGAATTCTATTTACATCCTTGTGTAGGATTAAAAGTCTTGTACAAAGGATGAATATATATAGGGTCCGCTTGGCGCATCTTTTTGGGAAGATCTTTTGGTAATTCTGACATGCAAAAGACATATTGAGCTTTTGCATGAAGATCTGAGCAGCTCGAAGCACATTTGACAGATGCATGTCTTTTCGTGTCTTTCCGCACGAGAATAAAATGTGAGAAACATGGAAATATTCATTTGAAGCTTCCCGAAATCATCCCAAAATGGGCTTATCGTGTCTTTTCGGCGCTCCGTCTTTTAGCAGTTAGATATTCCATGAGCCAAATAGGAATAGACCGAAAATCGATCTTCCCAACTTGTAAACAGTCGAAAGCCCACACAGAAAAACACGCCAAACAGGCCCATAATCTTTGGGAAGAAAACCTGTGTGCTGATCTCCTAACCAATAAAGGTATTGATGAAAAATCTCTCTATAATGGTTTTTTTTAAGGCAATGCTCAAATTTTCAGAGAGTTGAGAGAAGAGTCATGTTCTTGGGTTCTATGGCAAGGCAGGTTATGTCATACCTTATGAGTAATAATTTTTCTTTGGGAAATGGTTAACAAAATTTTAAGACGGCCACTCCTTGTACATTCATAGCTACATATATACATATATATCAAATTGATCATTGAACGATGAATGTATCCAATTCGATTCAAATTCGATTTGCTATGATATTTGAATTTGGTATAAACGAATTGGATTCAAATCGAATCAAATCAGTAATCAATTCATTTGCAAGGACAACTACCAATACAAATAGGCATCCCATTGGAGTTAAATATAAGGCAAGGAAGTACAGTTAAAACAAGATGGGGAGAATCTCCTGTCTAGTCATCTAGAGCCTAAGCGTTTAAAAGCAAAGGCAAGGAGGCCATTATGCACAGCAGCACAAGCATTAAAAAGCATTTCTAAATTCCATGGAAGTCACATAGAAGCCACTTTCCAGCCTAATGACACATTCAAGGGTAGGATTTTTCCTCGCGCACTGGCCACCTTAGAAAACTTCGACCAATATGGATGAGCAACCTAACGAGTTAAAGGCCAGCCTTAAATCTTTTCTCTACATATGGATCCTTACCCCAAAGTCCAAACCCTTTCAATCTCTCTCTCTTTTTTTTTTAATTGATTTATTAGCAATTTTCTCTTCACATCAATTGCTCAAAGGGAAAGCTGCATCTTTAGATTCTTCTTTTTGTTTTCATAAAGTTTGTATTTGTTTTTTTTTTTTTTTTTTTTTTTTTGCAGAAACCAGCCTCGAAATAACTGCATGGGTATTCTGGAAGTTCGGGGAGGTGATTTCAATTTACAAATTTCAGGGGAGGTTTCAACAACTACCAAAAACTTTAGGGGAGGTTTCAGAAATTTACCCAAAAAATATGGGAAGTAGTGGGCCCAAACATTATTGAGGTGGTCCGAGATATTTTTTCTAGAAAACTATTAAAGCAACTAAATAACACATATATTGTCTTCATACCCCAAAGCCCTAGTCTAGTTACCTCATCCCAATTCAGGCTTATTAGAGAATTCTAATAAAAGGGGTCTATTTGCAACTGTTTAAAAGTTCAGAGGACGTGGTTGTAATTACAAATATCAGGAGAGGTATCAACTTGAGCTGAACCTAAACTGATCCTGAACCTAAACTGATCATTAAACCCAAATAACTACAACTTGAGCTGGCTTGAATTGGGAATTTAACAAATTTTCAACGAATCCTAACCTAATCCGAATCCAAACCCAATGTAGCTGATTTTTTCGAATTGGTAACCCATAATTTATATATTTATAATTATATAAATTATAAATTTATATATTTATAATTTTATACATTCAATTTAGATATTAATCCAATAAACCAAACGAAAATCCTAAACTCCAATTCAATAAAATATCAAATCGAACCAAACCGTTGACTCGACTCACTCGTTGAACAAATTTTCAAAAGCGCGTGACCACGTCGACCCCCTTTTTCCTCATTATCTTTTACAGGTTCATTCATATTCTATCACCTTGCGCCATGAAGACTTCTATTAACTAGACAGCACAGCCACAACTTCATTAGATTCATACGAGCATAGCTTCGATGTATTTGAAGAATTTTTTCGAGTAAAAGCTTTTATTTTCATGGCATACGAAGAAAACAATCCCTGTCTCAACTCTAGGGAGGAGGAACGTCGGCAATAGTTTCGGCCATCAGTGAAAAAAGCAGCAGAAATATGCACTTTTTCCCAATAATAAATTTACAGAAGATCCAATTTTCTGTTTCTGACACGATATTACAGAGTCGTGAAGTTGGANCGGTGTGACACTTCGGCCGGATTGATGATGCAATAATTATCGATCAGCGATTGTTGTTTTTGATCAATCGATTCTGCTATAAATTTGAAGTCGAGAAAGGGATTGAAGCAGCAACAGTTTTCGCCCTTTAACCTGCACAGTGGTTAATCCTTAGTATTATTTGTTAAGGTAATTTTCATATGCTGTCAGTAGTGGTATCGGTGGCTCGTTCCGTTTGTGTTTTTTTTTCTCCTTTTCTATGGCCGTGGGCCAATCTATAGAAACTTGGAGTTCGAGTTGTTTTTCACTTTCTCTCTTATTTGGTTGAAAACAGAGGCGGAAGAAGAATTGGAGATTTCTCTGTAGGTTTTTGGAATGGAGAAGTTGTTGGAGGAAAAGTTCGATCTCGAACACAAGCACCCCTCGCAGGAGGCTCTAAGAAGGTGGAGATCTGCAGTTTCGCTGGTGAGGAACCGGCATAGGCGGTTCCGTTACACGGCGAATCTGGATAAGAGATCAGAAGCCGAACAAGCGAGGCGGAAAATCCAGGTGCGTTCACTCTCTGTACTGCTTTGTTATACTTCGATCTTATTGATCCGTATGGCTTAATCGATGCTTTAGAGCATGAAATGGTAATGTGGTGGGCGGCGAGGTGGTGTCGATTATTTTAGGGTTTCAGTGGGCTCTGAAACAAGATTGCATTCAAACTGCTCACGTTGGATGACAGTGACGAAGTCTGAGATTCTCTGGGATTCAACTAAAACTTTGAAATTTTCTTCGGTGATATCTTACGAATCGAGAACGAAATTCATGATTTCAAGATTGTTGGGCGTCAATCTGAAACCGTAGAAAAGAGCAGAAATGAATGCCGCCGTATTCCGGTGGCTTCGTCGAAGAAGTGCTTTGTTTGTATTATAGCGCAGATGCGTTAATATGCTACTGCTTCCGGAACACAGGCACCCAACCATTCGAATTTACTGTGGGGGCGCCCCACAGCACTTCCCGACCTTATATTGGGAACATCTCCCGATAATGTCTGGGATGCAGATGTGAACAATAATTCCCAGATCCTGTTAATTGGGAAAGCTTGTGCCTGAACACTGGGGATAAGTGGACTGCAATCCACCTAAGAAATATAAAACTGCATCCTGCTGTGAATTTAATATTAATCCACGGATAGGATTCAGTCTGCCCTTAAAAATCTTAACTCCACCCTAGAATGGATTTGTTAATGTTCCGAGTTTTTTTTCTCTCTCATCCTCAAGCCCATTAACCCCTTAACCTACGTGCAAACAGGAATCCCAAAAATCTTTCTAAGATCAGAAAAAGAGACCTTACCAACCAACTGGTTTATTTAGTTGTTTACTCTGGGTGCATTTGTTCAAGTGTTTGTGATTGATAGATGAACCAATTAGGATTTCTTTTGGATGTTGGGAACGTTCAATTGGTATCAGATCTCTATCCCCTTTCCCCAATCATCCTTTCATCCATCACACGGCATTTGCATAATTGGAAACATTTTCGGGTATTTATTTTTAATCATATGCCTGAATTCCCCGTAGGGACTATAATTCTTTTTTCATCTTTTTGAGAAACGTAGGGCCCAAAATCCGAATTTTCTTTTATGGTCCATAAATACGCAAAATAATGAATAAATATTAAAATTTTCAATTATTTAATTGAAATCAAAATATCCTTAAACCCAACATATAATATGTAAGTTCATATATATATATATATAAGCAATAAGATTATTTTAATAAATTCAATATATAGGTTAGGGAGGATCAAGTTTAACCCAATAATGTATCTGATGATGGGGTTTTTTGAGGGGGGTTCAAGAAGAGCTTTGGCATGGGCAAATCTGGGCTTTAGTGGGTGGTTCGAGAGCTTTGTCCTGGTGGTTTTTTGTTTTTAAGTTGTGGAAAATGTTGGGGCAGGGTTTTTGTTCTATTTTTTTGCTGATGCCTTATCACCCTTTGTAATCTCCTTTCTTGTTTCTTTTTAATAAATTCTTTTTTTATTTACCTCAAAAAAAAAACTAAATAAAACTGTCAACTAGTACCCATTTGATAAGATAGAATCCAAATCCGAATTTTGTCCTCACTTATAGCCATGTATTGAAACATCTCCCAATGAATAAAAATTATTAAATCCGAAATTGAGAACACTCTTCACACCAACTTACAACACTTTTAGCCACGCATTGGAAACATCTTCCCTATTTATGTATTATCATTCATGAGAAAATATTTCCAATAGACAAATGGATGTGCTGTGAGAAGTGCTATATATGAAGCAAATCTGATTTCGAAATTACCATCGATACTTGGAGAGAATCATACAATGTAACAAAGTTATTGATGTCATGTGTATTTAATTCCAAAAAAAAAAAAAAAAACTCCAGTATGAGTGTTGTCGCCCCCCTTGCGTCAAGTGACGGAGAAAATTTTTGTTTCTTTTAAAAAACAGGATGGTCCTTATTCACGATGATGAGAGGCCACACCTAAATTTTTTATCATTTTCTATGAGGTGGTTCCGTTTAACATCAACCGTGAATTCACGAACCATTTCCCCTTGCCCAAAAAAATAAGTGAATTCAGTTGTCGGTAGAGCCCGCTAAACAGTAAACCGGAATCTCAAGCATGTTTTACAGAAGTTGTTTCTAATCTTGTCTTAAAATTTTTTTTTTAACGACGTCAGGCTGGGGGTATTTTAAGGCAGGTGTTAAAAGATTATCAAATACTTGCTCAATGTGTTTCATGGAGTTCTCCATGGTCTAAGTGAGCATATATGCCTTCCTCAATTGGTTGGCGTATGCCTTAATTAATGGGACTTGGATTGTCTCTTTCAGCGAAATTTAGTTACTTTTTATAGATAATTTAACTAATTGGCTTGTGAGCAACTGAGCATATTCCAGCAAGACCCAACCGATTGCTGGCTCGTTGGTTTGTTCCAGCGTTGACGTGGGATTAAATCTCGCAATTAGCACTTTGGAAAAAAAACAAGACCCATATTGCTAAAATATTTTATTAGAAAATTGTCGTTGAATCGCTCTTTCAATCAAGAAGTTTGCATAACATAAACAAGGGGTACAATGGTGAGTGTAGAGTGAGATACGAGTGGAAAAGATGACGTGTGGAAAAGATAGCCATGTTCTATATTCCAATTTGATCCAACAGATCTTCATGTGTCCTTGTCTCACTTTCTTGTTATAATTTTCTTGGCAACTTCCTTCATTTTTCTTTCAACCTCCGGTTGCATATGCAATTGTTAAGAATCCAATGCCACCCTCAATAATGTCAACTACCGCGTAAAGGTATAAGTTATCTTTAGACCACTGACCACCCACCAGTACAACTGTTCTCCAAAGTCTGATGTAATCCCTAGTCGTATGACCATCTGTCCATCTGTTTGTACAGAAAATAAGTCTTTTTTTTTGTAAATTGTTACAAGTACCCATATACTATGAGATCTGTGACAAATACCCCTGAATTTTTTTATGTTATGAAAAATACCTTTGGACTTTTATGTTATGACAAATACCCCTTAACTCAGATAATGAAAATATTAAATTATTAAAATATCTATTAAACTTTTTTTTTATTTTCATTCTTTCTTAAAACTTTTCGATGTCGAATTGGATAAATTTCTTAAACTATCCTTATAATTTAGTTAATTGACTAAACTGTTTGAAAATTGACTAACGATACTCCTACCATTTTTGACAATTGAATAATATTTCCTTTACAATTGGTGTTTCGATAACAGAAATGACAAAAAAGACTATTTTACTCTTTATTCTTTTTCAAAATTTCAAAACAAAACAGAAAAAAGGGAAAAGAAATGTTGATTCGTCCAAACACTAACATTTCAAACCCAGAACCTTCCATCGTCGTCCTCTTTAAGAAATTTACCCTATATATTACCTATGAGACTTGAATCACGTGAAGTTTTGTCAGTGAAGGTTGGAGAGGGATGCACCTGCGTCCAGTTTTTCTTCCATCCCCCTTTGAACCCGTTGGGCAAGAGCACTAGTAACTCCCAACAGTATTTGTGCAAATCGTTGATCGTGCATAGTTATTCATGGTTCGATCCACGCATTCATCTATGTCTGCAAGTGGTTTACTGTTTGCGCCTTTGCAACTTAGGTTGCAAGTCTGCAACTCTTCACGAGATACCTGTTGTAGCTCTTTAGGTGAGATGGTTATTTGAGTCCTGTTTACTGTTTTTTTCTGAAAGAAAACAACCCATTTAGGAAGAAATTAGTGTTCTGATTTTTAGAATTTTAATCAAAGAAATAGAGGTGGATGGACCTAGATATATTCTCTATTATCCATTGAAGGTCCTCCTAGGATTCCATTAAACACGATTCCTTTTTTTTTTGCATAAGGAGAATACAATTTACATCGATTCAACGGAATTCCTTCTCCATTCTTCCTTGTTTCTGGATTTCGTGAATCCTAACTGTTGGAATCCCATTAAACATGATTCCTTCTCCATTCTCCCCTGTTTTTGATATTAAAAACAATATATAAAAAAATATTTAACCGTTTTAAGGAGAAAACAGGAGAAGAGGTTAACAAATTCCGGATTACGAAGCACTCCTTCCATCTTCCACCTTCGCCTCCTCTGCCCGTTGCCTTGGATTCACGGAATCCATTTACATCCATCCAATGGGATCCCAACACCAGTTGTTGTGACTGGGCCTTTGTCAAGTACAATGCCAATACCAACCGCATCATCCAACTGTTTATCGTTGTAACCACCATCGTCGGTTCCATACTGTCAAATGGCTAGAGTGTTGGCATGAATGAACGAGAAAGGGGAGCGGAGGAAAGACAATGAAAGTACAAAGTATAAAAAAGTTTGATGATTTCAAAAATTAAAGAAAAGGGTAGTTTGGGCATTAAAGAAATTTAAACAGTGATGTGAGAATTTTTTGAAGTTAGTGATGGAATGCTAACAGATGGGGTTTGTGTCTAACGACCAAAATTGCAGGAGTTCGGTTGGGCTACATTTACATGTTACAACGCAGGCTACTCGAAAACGCGGGCTACTTGAAAACCAATGGCCAAAATGGACCGGACCGGACGGTTAGATTCGAAAAACCGTATTTGATTTGGTTAGCAAACTGCTGACCCGGGCGTTCTAACAGTTCGAACTGTTCAACGGTTTTGGCCGTTTTTTATTTTAATTTTTTTGTTAGAATGGACTGTCCCTTCGGTTCGAACGGTCGGACCGTTCAACCCAGACCGGACCCTTGATCGATCAAGGGTCCCTACTTAAGTATGGGACACATCACTTAACATAAACATTACACATCAACTTTAAACATAAATAAAATGACTAAACTACTCCTATAAAGTCGACACTAGCACTCCTCCTCAAGCTGGTGAGTATATAATATCATATAGTCCCAGCTTGTTACGTATGTAGTCCACTCTTCCTCGACTCAACCCTTTAGTGAACAAGTCTACCCATTGACTTCTTGTGTTAAACATATGTAGTGGTTATCACTCCACTAATCACTTTTTCTCTCACAAAGT